TGCTTCCTCATATCCTCTAGGTCTCTTAACACTAGTTCACACACCAAAGCCAAAAAGGACACTTGTGTTTTTTTTTCCATTAGTGCCTAACCTTATCAAGTTGTGGTTATAGAAACCCAGTCAAACCCAAATACTAAGGTGCTAGCAGGAACACTGTCTAGAAAGTCTCTTCTAAATTTAATATAATTCATATTAAAGGACACATTCCTCACTCCATGAAACCTACTGACTATATCACTCTATCTCATCACATCTCAGTATCTCATGTAGGACATATATTAATCAGAAAGAAAGGTGTCAAATGATATCCCTAAAAGGAATACTTAAGACAATCCTCTGACAGATTCATAACCCACAGAAGACTTCCTAACTGAAGATTCCTGTCAAATGATCAGATGCAATACTTACAACGTCTGTTCCTTCCTTTGATTAAAAACTAAGCTCCATCCTAAGAGGATCTCTAGGGTTCTGATCCCCCACTCCAAACTGCAAAAGCACTACACTTCCTAGTCTTTCTCAGGCTGTCCTTGCCTTGGCTGGGCAGGGGTTAGTCTGGCCACCTTTATTGTTTCCCCACACCTCGACTTCCATTCTGGGGCACTCACCTTCCTTCTGGCTTCCAGCAGCACCAATACTCTGCTGTGTCAATAGATTCTGGTTGTACAGAGTGGGGAGTGCCGCGGCAGCGTACTGCTGGATCCCAGAATACGCCTGGGTGAGGGCCTCCATAGTGCTCCCAGTGCCGTTGGAAAGGCCACTGCTGCCCAGACCACCATTCAGTGCAGCCATTCCTTTGTTGGGGGAAGAATTAGGTTAATATATTGGAAAGATTCAATCGATGCTGAAGACAGATATACTTAAGTTACTAGAAAATTGACCCTCCCAGCAAAATGTGCCTTTCATCTCTCTCATAACTTCCCACTGAGTGAGTCTATTCATCTGAGTGGTCCCATTTCAGGACACTTCACCAGGCTTCGATGCTTATGTGAACATGAAAAAATTCACAGCCCTCACTGCTCTCCTCATTCCTGTTTTCTAGCACACGGAAGGACTGACACCATTCACAAATGCCTATACCTGTTTTTCATCTTCTTCATACAAAGCTGGAATATGTAAAATCAGCCCCAGAACCAGGGACTTTTAAGATGTGAGTAAATGCTATCATTAAAATAGCACTCAACATTTACTGAGCATGTTCTGTATGGCAGGCACTGAACTAAGTGTGCTCATCAGCCCTTTGCCTATGTTCTCATTCTCATTTATCGGTTGGTTGGTTGGTTGTTTTAAGACAGGGTTTCTCTGTGTAGCCCTGGCTGACCAGGAAATCACTCTGTAAACCAGGCTGACCTCAAACTCAGAAATCAATCTGCCTCTGCCTCCCGAGTGCTGGGATTAAAGGTGCACACTGCTGCCACCACCTGGCTCATTTAACATCATCTTCATAAAAGGTTATTTTGTATTTTAAAATTTTGTGTGGGTGCTTTGCCTGTACATATGACTGTACACCATATATGTGGTGCCATGAAGGCCGGAAAAGGATGTCAGATCCTCTGGGATTGGAGTTACAGAGAGTTGTGACCTATCATGTGGATACTAGGAATCAAACCAGGCCCTCGGGAAGAGTAGCTGGTGCTCTTAACAGCTGAACCATCTCTCCAGCTGCTCATTTAACTTTTTTTTTTTTTGTTTGTTTGTTTTTTGTTTCTTTTCAAGACCGAGTTTCTCTGTGTAGCCCTGGCTATTCTCAAACTGGTAGAGATCCGCTTGCCTCTGTCTCCCCGGTGCTGAGATTTAAAGGCGTGTGGCGGCGGCACCGGCACCACCACCACCACCACCACCACCACCACCTGGCATCTTAAGAACACTTCAAAGTATTCTATTACTCTATGGATAAGAAAATGACTATTAGAATGGTGGTCCAAGGTTACAACTAGCTAAGCAGCAGAGTCTGACAAAACCCTGGTTATTTCTAACTTCTCTTGGGCCAAGGCAATTTATCCAACCGGTACTGGGTTAGTTTATGATGTGCCATTTATAAAGTAGCTGGATGATAACCAGGGGCTGCCCATTACCTGCCAAAGAGCCAACGTTGAGACCAGCTGTTGCTCCAGCTAATGTTTGCAGGGCTCCAAGTGAGGCTATGGGGTTGACAGAGTTACTGCTGCTGGAGCTCGGTGAAGACCCTGCTATTAGAAATTGAGGAGTTAAATCATCACTTGCCTTTTCTTGTCAACAGGAACCAAAGCACAAGAGCGATCCTACCTAACTCTTCTATTTCAGTAATTCACTGAATCACTGAAGTAACATCTGAGAGTGGTTCAGTGGGTAAAGGTGCTTGGCCATCACCCTAAGGACCTGAGCTCCATTTCTGGGCCCACAAGGGGGAAAGAATCATCTGCTATAAGTTGTCCTCTGACTGCTACATAGGTAATGTGGCATGTGCACATTCTCACAGTCACAAATGAACACACACACACACACACACACACACACACACACACACACACTCACTCGCATGTGTAATATCATTTAAAATTTTTATTTTAGACGGGTGATGGTGGGGCACGCCTTTAATCCCAGCACTCAGGAGGCAGAGGCAGGTGGATCTCTGTGAGTTCGAGGCCAGCCTGGCCTACAGAGCAAGTTCCTGGATAGGCTCCAAAGCTACACAGAGAAACCCTGTCTCAAAAAACCAAAACAAAAAACAAACAAAAAAATTATTTTAAATTGTATAGATGTGGAGCTATGTAAAAATATAAATACATGTGAATATAGGCTTACAGAGGGTAGAAAAGGAAGTTGAATTCTCTGGAGTTACAGGCTGTTGTGAGTTGCTTACTGTGGGTGCTAAGAACCAAGCTCAGGTCTGCTGAAAGACCAGTACATGCTGTTAACCACTGAAGCACCTCTCCTGCCTCAATAATTTAAATTTTTTTTTTTTTTTTTTTTGGTTTTTCTGCGTAGTTTTGCGCCATTCCTGGAGCTCATTTGGTAGCCCAGGCTGGCCTCGAACTCACAGCGATCCGCCTGGCTCTGCCTCCAGAGTGCTGGAATTAAAGGCATGCGCCACCACCGTCCGGCCTTTTTTTTTTAAATAACTTTTTTATTCTGTGTACATTAGTGTTTTGCTGATGTATATATGTGTGAGTGTGCTAGATGCCCTGGAGCTGGAGTTACAGAGCTGCCTCTGTCTGTAACTTCATACGAGCTGCCATGTGGGTGCTGGGAATTGAACCCAGATCCTCTGGGTGAGCAGCCAGTGCTCTTAACCTCTAAGCCATCTCTCCAGCCCTAATTTAAATTTTTTTATGAAGAGCAAAAACAAATAAAAAACCTAAAAAGGGTGTGATCCACAAATCTTTGATCCCAGCACTTGGGAGGCAGAGGAAAGGATCTCTTTTGAGTTCAAGGCCAGCCTGGTCTACACAACAAGTCCAGGACAGCCAGGACTCACACAGACAGAGACCCTGTCTAAAAAAAAAATAAAAGGGGTGAGGTAGGGGGAGACACCCAGACCAAGACCTCTGAATCTTTGTTCGTAATACCACCCAGCAAGATGACATCCCACCCCTGCGAGCCTTCAAAGAGGACCTGTCCAAGAAACACAATGCTCCCTGTTGGCCCCTTACCTGAACTGGTGAGTACGCTGAGGGGACTGCTGGATGTAGTGAGGGCATTGGTACCACTTGGTGTGTTCTGAGCTGCACTAGCTGCAGCAGCTAGTGCAGCCAAATTCTGTAGCTGCATTGCATTTAACCCTGAAATATCCAGAAAAAGACATCAGTCAGCAGATTAGGTGTCCAACATTTATTCCAGCAATGCTTAAAAACGTCCCAGACAAAGAGGAACTATCCTATGTAAGAATATACTTATTTTCTGTATTTTCCATAATATACTACAGGGATCCAAAAGATCTAGTAATAAAATTTAAAATGCCAGGGTTCTAATTCAGTGGTATAGCACATGTTACCATGCACCAGGTCTTGGGTTCTCTCCTCAGCAGGGAGGAAAGGAGAAGAAACCTGGAGCTTGTTAATCCAATAGCAATAGCACTCCAAACGAGCACTAATACAGAGGTGGGCAAAACTGAATGAGGAGCATACCTGTGACCTATCATGGGGCCAGGAGCTCAAAGGAACAGTGCCAAAAGCCACAGTAAAAAAAAAGTCCCCCTTACATACACATAAGTGTACTAAAGAAGCAGGGAACAGAGATCTAGAAGGCTCCCATGGGAGTAACAGGAAAGAACAGTAATAGGAGAAGGAATAAAGAAAACATTGCCACTGTAACAGTAAATTAATCATCAGAAGAAGGCAGAAAAATAATGCGAGGGAAGAATTGTAAGTAAAACCTTAGTAATACAGAATTAAAAACAAATTAACAAATTTGATTACATAGAGAAACCCTGTCTCAAAAAAGATAAAAAACAAAAAACAAAACCAAGACGGGCAGTGGTGTTGCATGCCTTTGACCCCAGCACTCGGGGGGCAGAGGCAGGTGGATCTCTGTGAGTTCGAGGCCAATCTCGTCTACAAAGAGAGATCCAGGACAGGTACCAAAACCACACAGAGAAACCCTGTCTCGAAAAACAAAACCAAAAAGAATGAATTTGAACTGTGCTGTGGATTTTGTAAAGCATTTTACTAGAGGACATATATACTATCAGGACAGGAAATGGACAAAAGTAAAAACACCATACATTACAATTTAATAATTTTCCCAAAATATAGAAAAAAAATTCCCTAGGACAAAACCAATCACTATCGACACTTCAAAATGCAGTTCACCAAACATGCCCCTCTTTCTCAAAGTGTATGATTAGTTGTACCCTGCTGCACAGGGTACAGGCGCAGGCTACTGTGGGACTACTCACATTCTGTCTCCTCAGACTTTCCTGTCAGCCTGTGGCTCATGTCTGTCTTTAGAACTTCATTTGCTACAAACCATGTTATTTATAGTCTACATTTTCCATGCATTTTTTGTTGTTTTTGAGACAGTGTTTCATGTATCTTAACAGCAACAACAACAGCATGATTCAGAAACACAAAAACTCCTTGGTTCTAGCAGCTTTGGGTAGGTATTTACACAAAGTCACTGATTGTTACTTCATTATATAGGGCTCTTGGCCTTTTCCCTTCCCCAACAGGGACTTAGAATTAAGTACACCAGACAACTTCAGAGCAATGTGGCATAACAAGGCTACATAACAGAGATGAGAGATTCTGAGTCCTAGATAGTCACCTTAGGTAAGGAGTGGAAAGGTTTGGCAGAAATGGTGCAAAGCTCTCAGACGGAGACAGCCGTCTGCTGGCCCCTGCGCTGCTGCTCCTCTGCAGCAGTGAAGCACTTACCTCCCATTGGGTGGAGGCTGCTCAGGGTGTTGAGGTTCCCAGAGGAGGCAGTCTGCTGAAGGAGCTGCAAATAAAGCTAGACATTACACCAAAAAACAGAACAAGAGTGAGAGTGAGGGCTGGTTCTGCATCTGGGATAACTACAGCACAGCAAAGCAAGAGTGCAGAGGCCCCCAGAGAGAAGGAAGTCAAAGACAGATCCCAAGCCAACAGAATGCAAGCCTAACGACTACATGCGACAAGAGCAACACACCAAAGCCCGGCCCAGAACACTGTTCACTAGATAGTGAGTTAAGCTCAAGTCTCTGGGCAGCAGAATGCAGCACAGCAAAGAACAAAAACAGCACAAAGAAATAACCTAGGTGCAAGCGCTGGTACACCTCAGGGGTTAGAGGCCATTTCTAGTTTCTTTCTTTCTCTCCCATGTTCTCCCAGTAAGGCCAACACATCATATTCTTTAGGTTACAACCACTAACTAGTTTATTTTATTATTACTTTGGTGTTGTATGAGACAGGTTCAAACCATTTAGCCCTAGTTGGCCTCAAACTCAAAATGTAGACTAGGCTAGCCCTGAATTCAGAGCTCTACCAGCATCTGACTCCTTAGAGCTGGGATTAAAGGTATACACCATTACACCCAGCCTTCCACTTAACTATTTTTATTTTACTTTTTAATTTACTTTATTTTTATTTTATGTGCATTGGTGTTTTGTCTGCATATGTCTGTGTGAGGGTGTCAGATTTTGGAGTTACAGGCAGTTGTGAGGTGTCATGTGGGTGCTGGGAATTGAACTCCGGTCCTCTGGAAAAACAGTCAGTGCTCTTAACCGCTGAGCCATCTCTCCAGCCCCCCACTTAACTATTTTAAATTATCATATTGGATCTTATTTTAGTATTTCTTGTGTGTATGTGTGTTCACGTGTGCATGTGCAAGCATGTGTAGACTAAGCAGGGTCTCTCTTTTATGTAGCTCTAGCTGTCCTTGAACTCACTATGTAGACCAGGCTGGCCTCAAACTCAGAGATCCGCTTTCCTCTGTCCCCGAGTGCCAGGATTAAAGGTGTAACCACCACACCTGGCTAGAGATCATTTTCAAAGCATTATTCTGGTGGAAAACTACAGTACCTCCAAACATATAAACAATGTTCCTGGCATTAAGAAATAACTTAATCTATTGAAGTATATAGAATAATCTTTCACCTTTAAAGACATACTAGTAAGAATAAATTGGTAATTCTAAGATTTAAGAAATATGGAAACCAGTGGGCATCAGGTTAATTAGAACTCAGTATGGGCTGTAGTGGGTAGCCGTTCCAGCTTTGACCTGGAAGTACTACTCCCATGGAGGTTTTGGTAACTCTCACGCCTACAAGGCAGAGCCAAGACAGGACCCCTGAAGACCCAAGATCCAGATGGGCCGGCTCTCTTGGTTCTTGAATCCTGGACGCTGGAGGTAGACCGAACAGAGTTCTCCAGAGAACACCGTCGGACTGTGCTTCACCTTTCCCAGACCCTGTAACCTATCCCTTCACTTGTAAGTTACCCCACAAAATAAACCTCCCTTTTAACTACATGGAGTTGCCTTAATATTTAAACTAATAATGGGCCAACAGAACTATTATCTTCCCTGTTTCCACACAGAATTAGTATCTGAAAGAATAAAGAACAAATGACTGCAGTAGTTATTTCTATATGCACATTTCCAAACTAGCCATACAGACTTGAGATTTCACCATTTACAGACTCAAAGAAGAGAAGGTTTCAGTCTGGCCAGGAACTCACTTGTGCATCACAGGCTGACCTAGAACTCATCATCTTCCTGCCATGGACCCCCAAGCACTAGAACTATAGTAATGTGCTACTATGCTGAAAGATGCCCTTTTCCTGTGTGTCTCACAATTTTAATAATCTCCTGTGAGATTATTATTGACTAAAACCTACATAATAGATTACAGCTGGATCTTCTTTTAGACTGTATGACTCAAAGTCATTAACAGAGAAATCAATTAAAGGAAACCTAGCTACAATTTGGCAAATCCAACAAATATGTACCTATATTTCTCATTTAAGAGCATCCATTTTAATTTCAGGATCTTTCAGTGCGCTGAAAGATACATTAATCATGCTTTCAGGGAAGACTCAATAAAAGATTTTGATGAGCTGGGTGGTGGTGGCCCATGCCTTTAATCCCAGGACCCTGGAGGCAGAGGCAGGAGGATCTCCTGTAAGATCCAGGCCAGTCTGGTTTACAAAGGGAATTCCAGACCAGCCAGGGTTACAGAGTTACCCTCTCTTGAAAAAAAAAAAGATGATGCCCACTAGAAAGAGACATGGAAAATGAGGCTGAACAGTGAAGATTTCTTGAGGATATCTCTTGGAGGCAGGGAATTACGAGACATTTATAAATCTTTAAACTTGAATTGTAGCAAAAGCCTCAAGATTAAACCATACAGGAGATAGACAAGATATCAATTTTCACTCCTATTTTTACATGAAATCTCTACATGCCCAAAGTTGCAAATGCCATTGTTTGTTAGCTAGAGATAGTAGAAGAAAACAGCCAAGAGCTTGCACAAGCTGCAGAAAGCAAACCCCACAACTCACTGCTAAGTACTGGGGCCCAAGAGTGTTCAGGCCAGCCAGGTTCCCCCACACAGATGCTGCACTGATTTGCTGCATCTGCTGCTGGAGCTGCTGGGCCATTCGCTTCTGTTCTTTGTCCTTCTGGGTGTCAGCAAATTTTACCACCATGGGAGAGGAGCAACCCTGGAAAACAGCAAAACCAAAGGGTCAAATACCCTCGGACTTCTACATGCATGCTATGGATGGAGAAAAACACACGGACACGGACGGATGGACGGACGGACACGGACACACACACATTAAAACAACAAAATTCCTCCTGGGTTGCAGAAGGAAATCATCCTTTTAATATGAAGGCTGCATTCTAATTTCTACCACCCCCAAATGACTTTTTTGATAAATAACAGTGGCAAAAGACTATTTCTTTTTTTCTTTTGTTTTTTTTGAGACAGGGTTTCTCTGTGTACTTTTGGAGTCTGTCCTGGAACTCGCTCTGTAGACTAGGCTGGCCTCAAACTCCAGAGATCCGCCTGCCTCTGCCTCCCAAGTGCTGGGATTAAAGGTGTGTGCCATCACCACCCGGTAAGACTATTCCTAATAACCATTTTCTGTTTATTATTTTTAAAACAGGGAAGTCTTACCATGTTGCTAAAATTGGTTCTTAACTACTAGGTTCACGTGTTCCTCCTGTCTTAGCCTGAATCACTGGGCCTTTAAGCATTCTCTTATTTGGCTCCAATGTTAGTTAGCTTTTCAAAGATGTATTTACTAACTCTATATGCATGAGTGTTTTCTCTACTTGTGTAGGTATGCCCCACATGCATTTATGGTGCCCAAGGAAGCCAGACGAGGGTGTTGAATCCCCCTACAACTGTAGTTGTAGATGGCTGTGAGCTATCATGTGGATGTTGGGAATCAATCACAGGTCCTCTGCAAGATCATCATGTGCTCTAAACCACCGAGTTCTATGATTTTAAACTTAAGGTATTTCATACCTTAAAGTAGATTGACCTTTAAGTTTCAGGGTGCAAAGGATTTTCCTGACAAGGGGTTTTTGTCCTCTTCCACCTGTCTGCTCCTTACCTCCATGGTTTGTGCTTGGTGCATTGCTTTGATAGCTGTCTGTGCCATGGTTCTTGTTGTAAAAGTCACAAATGCACAACCTGGTAAACAAAGAATCAATATTCATTTGTTTAGAGATTTATCTGTCAGACATTAACTGAACATCTAGTTTACTGTGTGTTAACTACCATGTCAGCAATACAAATGTGAGCCTACGTTTCAGGATTTTACAAGCTGGTTCAGTAGACAGATGTCATGATAGGGTACAAAGTGCTACCAAGGAACCACAAATAGCAAAGAGTGATTGAGGGAGAAGCAAAGAGTTCATGCTAAAAAGCAAATGTGAGAAAACTGTCCCATTTTGGACATCAAGATCTTCAGCAATCAAGAGAAATTGAGGAGACAGAACTCCTTAAGCAGGACTGGAAGAATACGTAAGAGACGCCGGGTGCTGGGGATTTAGCTCAGTGGTAGAGCGCTTGCCTAGTGGGCAGTGGTGGTGCACACCTTTAATCCCAGCACTTGGGAGGCAGAACCAGGCAGATCTCTGTGAGTTCGAGGCCAACCTGGGCTCTTACAGAGTGAGTTCCAGGAAAGGCGCAAAGCTACACAGAGAAACCTTGTCCCAAACAAAACAAAACAAAACAAAACAAACAAAAAGAGATCAACTGGTCAGGCATGGTGGCACACACCTTTAATTCTAGCACTCTGGAGGCAGGGGCAGGCGGATCTTTGTTTGAGGCCATCCTGCTCTACAGAGTGAGTTCCAGCACAGCCAGAACTAGACAGAGAAACCCTGTCTCAAAAAACAACAGAGAGAAAAAAAGAAAGAATGGAGGAAAACCAAAGGGATCAATTGTGAGAAGAATGACAAGATCAAGGTGAACAGCAAGAGGTGGCAGGCCCAACCTTCATCTATCTGTCTTCTACTAGTCCAGTTAAATTAAGAGACAGCAATTTAAGACAAGCATCTTTTTTAAAAGCTATAAAAATGTACCACCTCGGCTTAAGCCATCAGGTCCCCGCAATATCCGGCATTCTTCAATCTGTCCAAATGAAGAGAACATGACTCGGATGTCATTTTCAGTACACTTCTTGGAAATCATACCAATAAACAGCTTCCTGTCTTCCACAGCTAAAAGAGTAAAACACAAAAGTCTTGGACATTATCACTAAAAGGCAGTGTAGTACTGAGTCAAGAGCCAAAGGGTTTGAATCCTGGCTGTATCTCATATCACTCATCTCACAGATTATTTTTTTTCTTTTGTTTTTTGAGACAGGGTTTCTGTGTGGCCCTGGCTGTCCTGGAACTCACTCTGTAAACCAGGCTGGCCAGATCCATCTGTCTCTGCCTCTCGAGTGCTGGGATTAAAGGCATGCACCACCATCACCCAGCTCATCTTGAAGATTCTAAGACACATTTCTTCCTCCCATAATTTTATATCAATAGTATCTTAAAATTATACATATTTGGAAGCATTTGCATAAAATATGGAGAATTTGTGCTCTTGTTCAAGTTACTTCACCAATCTGTTTCATAACAGACAGCCCTAGGTTACCACAAAGGCTAATCTTGTGGTTATAAAATGCAAAGGTTTTGGCATCTTGTCATGTACTCGATTATGTTTGCTCTTTCTAGCAATACCATGAAAAGGGTTTTACACTTGATGTGACCAGGGAACAGAAAACTTCAGTGCGAACTTTCTACTTTCCTTTTCTGATTTTTAAATTTTACTTACTTAAAAAATTCTCCCTTAAATTGTGAATGGTATTTGGTCATTTGTCTATCTTCCTGCCTTCCTCCATCCTTTCCTCTCTCTTCTTTTTTGAAAAAGGGTCTCTCGATGTAGCCCTGGATGTCCTTGAACTTGCTATGTTGACTAGGCTGGTTTCAAACAAGAGATCCTCCTGCCTCTGTTTCCTGTGGGTCCTTTGTATTTCTAACTGAAACTCTTGAGAATTCAGTATTAACATTCTAGCCTCTGAGCTTTTTACAGCATTGTTCTGTTTTATTTTGTCTAAATGAAACTAAATGAGTTAGCTGCCATCTAATTTTAGGTGGATTCTACCGAGAACTGTGCCTAATTCCCACAACTTCACTACGGAAGACCAAGTCCTCAAAGATGGCACCAAGCATAGCAGTCTGTTAGTAGTATAGCCCCCGAGATGGTCTGACTGTTTCTTTTTCTTCCCTTTTTTTGTTTTTTCGAGACAGGGTTTCTCTGTGTAGCTTTGTGCCTTTCCTGGAACTCGCTTTGTAGACCAGGCTGGTCTCGAACTCACAGAGATTCGCCTGGCTCTGCCTCCCGAGTGCTGGGATTAAAGGCGTGTGCCACCACTGCCCGGTGGTCTGCCTGTTTCTACACAGGTTTTTCCAAGCTGTTTCAGGACAAATTCTCCTCTGAGCTTCCTGCAGAACGTTTTGTTCAGCTTTCTCAAAGACTTCACTTGTGGGAGTGAAACAAAGGTTATTTGTAGCTTTCTGACCACCAACTTTAATTTCTTTTGGCTTCCATTATATTTTGCTTTTACAGATGACACTTTAAGTCTGAGTTCATCCCCAGCTCCAAAAGTCCCTGGGTCACAGCTTGTTGCTGGGGTGCAGTATCATGGCAACTGAACTGATCATGGATGGCCTTGTCCCTACTGAGCTCAGGAAGCTCTGTCCTAAAGCACTAGCAGGTTTGCTTCCCAGCTGGTCCTTAACCTGTCCATAAGAAATTATACTTATCAAGGACATTCTAGATTTTCTGTTTGTGTATCTGTTTTTGAAATATGGTCTCATGTGGCCCAAGCTGACCTAAAAATCCTAAATGCTTGAAACTACACTGAATACTACCACATGGGGCTAATTCATCCTAATATGTAATATTTCTGTTAACTCTATTTTTATCACTTATTTATCAAAATTAAGACAAAAGAGATTTGTTGTGGCTTTGTTTTTTGTGTGTGTGTGTGTGTGTAACAACAGCCCCGACTGTCCTGGATCGCCCTCTGTAAACCAGGCTGGCCTTGAACTCACAGAGATGTGCCTGCCTCTGCCTCCTGAGTGCTGGGGTTAAGGTGTGTGCCACTACCGCTTGGCTCAAAAGAGACTTTTATAGCACAATTCAATACAAGTATCTTAAGAAACGAAAAGAAAATAATCTCATGCAGAGCAGACTTGGCATGCTTGCTTACCATTGTTCTTTTCACTGTCAGCAGGTTTCATCTGTATAGGGTGATGCATCTAAACAGGAAAACCACTGGTGTTATTCTCCAAACCCATTAATGGCTTTCAAAAATATAAAGACTCTAAAGGGCATACCAAAACAACAGCCTTTAGAATTCTCTAAACTCATAGCTGCCCAATGATCTTACTTACAAAATATAAGAATAGACAGAATGTGAGTCATAAAATTAAAATACACAAGACTCTTGGCAGTGAGGACAACTTTTGGTCTATCTTTTTTGAAATGTTCCCTTTATAGACTCCTTTTCACAGCAATTACCTTTCTTCCAAAATGCTTTCCATTGTGTGCTTGACGTGCAGAAGCATGTCCCATGCATAAAAATTGAAACAACGCCATTTTTACTTATAAGAGCCTCTTACCCCAGGGAGGACCTTCATGTTGTGAAGAGCATTCTGAGCTTCTAATGCAGCTTTACGGGTGTAAAATGTAACAAAACAGCACCCTGAAAAAACAAGATTTTACAAAATTAGTGCCTTGGAAACAGACAATACTTAGAACATTTCTATCACTACACTACTGCAGAACTTTAAGAGAGGAATAAGTTTATTAAAATTCAAGAGGAGAAGAAGAGCACTATCTCTTTTTTTTTGTTTGTTTGTTTGTTTGTTTTTTGTTTTAACTGAGGCAGGGTCTCTGTGTAGCCTTGGTTGTCCTGGAACTCACTCTGTAGACAAGGCTAACCTCAAATTCAGAGATCCACCTGCCTCTACACCCAAGTGCTGGGATTAAAGGCACGTGCCACCACCGTTCATCAAGTGAATGTTATCTTTTAAGCATCTTTCTTTGTTGCTCTAGTCTACTCTAGCTCTGGGCTGTATCTCTAAATTCCTTGTAGTCATTAGAAGTCTTCTTTTGCTTCTGGAAAAATCCTTCCCTTTAAAAAAAAAAAAACCCTGAGACAATTTCATGTAGCACAGGCTGGCTTTGAATTTGGTATGTTAGCTAAGAATGTTCTTGAACTCCTGTCTCCACTTTGGTTTAGTGAAGACTACTTTGGGAACTGTTCACACATTCAACTTTTATAAGGAATTGGTATTCATTAATGTATTTTTAAATTGTAGTCAGTGGCTATATATCCTTTCACAAACCTGAGAGATTGGTTTTGTATTTATTTGTATTTGTGGCAATTAACAAAGAACTGAGAGTATAGTCTACACAACCATGTATGTCTATAATGCTCCCTTTACAAAGGTTATGTGTTATCACATTTAACCCATCCTATCATAAACTAGGTAATATGCTGAGGAACAAGACCTAGACACAGTCCTTATTCTAGCAGCCCGGTTTCCTGGAAACTCCTTTCTCTCTGCTTGCTCAGAACAAATCACTCCCTATATCACAGCTAGTTTTTAAGATTTTATTTTATGGATATGGGTGTTTTGTCTGTGTACCATATGTGCCGGGTGCTGAGGAGGCCAGAAAAGGGCACTGGATCCGCTGGGACTGGATTTACAGCCTGTGGTGGGCCACTGTGTGGATGCTGAGAACTGAACCTGGATCCTCTGCAAAGAGCCATCGGCGCTCTTAATTGCCGTAGCATCTCTCCAACCTCTCACAGCCAGTTTTTGTCCATATGACTCAAACGTAATCATCACTAATTAAATTGTAAAATTACTCAAGAACAAGAACGTAGAATATTTTTTGAATTCTTGATTCTCATCAGATAATTCTATTACTCACAGGACTTGGTACTGTCTTGAAGATTTTGTACTTTGTTTAGTATCTGGAGACAAAAGGGTCTTAAAAATCTTGGACTTCAGTGTGTTATCATGAAGTATAATAGTTTTCTCTCAATATTACGAAATACTAGGATTTTAAATTAATGTTGTATAGCCGGACATTTCCAGAAACTACAACTTTTATTTTTGGTTAACTATGCCAGAAGGAGAAAATTCATCTGTTTCTAGATCTTTAACTCATTAATTTGGGCACATACAACAACCATATACCTCACATCTGTACTGGAAAATAGCTTTTACAAAATCACAATAAAATTTGTCATTTGAAAAATAAGAGTATGTTTGTATGTACAAGCAAGCAAAGCTAATGTTGCCTACTGTCTCCTGAAATGCACAGGTTACTGTGATCTCTCGAAGAGTCTAACCTTTCTTTCCCTAACCATTTTGTAGGCTACTGCCAACCAATTGCCTAAATTAAGCCCTTCTCAGCTGATCAACTATCTTGTAAGGGCTGTAGCATCAGTTTACTCTAGTCAAAAAACCTCATGTGGCTAGTTTACTATTTTAAGCATTCCATTTGTAGATCAAATGAGACACAGCTCTGTGAGTACTTACACAGGACTGCCCAGGTGCATCTTACAAAACATTGTCATGTAGTCACCTTAATATTTTAAGGCATTAAATGTTTGGATTAGAAAATATAGCTAATATAAAAGGCTACCTTCCCCCTATAAACACAAAAACACCCTCACAATCAGAGATAAGATATACAGTATTATTATAGGAATTAAAAATAAAACCCAGCTGGGTGTGGTACATGCTTTTAATCCTAGCACCAAGAAGGCGGAGGCAGGAACTCTTGAGCTTGAGGCCAGCCTGGTCTACATAGCAAGTTCCAGGACAGTCAGAGCTAATATAGAGAAACCCTGTCTCGAACAAACAAAAAAACCAAAACAAATTAAAACTCCATTATGTGCACTGTATTCAAACACCCCCAGCCGTGGCCGCAAGCCTGTTCACTGAGTGAAGTGCTTGCTGGTAAAGGAGCTCCTGCCAAGTCTAACCTTCGAGTTCAATGCCTGGGATCCACATAATGGAGAACCTTGTATTTCAACTTGTCCGTAATTGAAATACATGAACCATAATAAAAATAAAAATAAAATAAAAACACCTCACCTTTGCTCTGAGGAGGGTTTTGGCTCCTATCCCTTAGGATGTTGATTTCATAGACAGCACCATACTGCTCAAAAAGCTCCCTCAAGTCCTTCTCAGACCAGGTCCTGGGAACCTGGCCCACAAACATCTTGATAGCATCAAGATCTGGTTGGTCTGGGTGGTCCAGGGTGCCGTTCATTTTCTTTGAGCTGCATGAGATAAAGGAGGAGGTTATAGATATTGTGTACCAGAAGGGGTTCTTCTTTCTAAACATTTTCAAGTACTTTCTTAAAACATAGAAGGAGAAAAATCTACTTCATTCACTACTTCTACTTAATTTACCTGAATTCTAGTCTGTCCACTCTACTACATATCAAAACTAAATTCACCATTCTGATTAAGACATTGACAATGCCACTTATGCCTTGGTCTAATATAATAAATTTCAGAACTTACAAAGTGAAGATCCCAAAGATAGATCGTTTTAATAGCATTTGAGTACAGCTATACAAATAAATTTATCTCTTAATGTACAGTAATAAGGATATTCATATGTCACAGCACTGTGCAGAGTTTGGAGTACCACTTTTTTGAGTCAGTTCTGTCCTCTTTTATGTGGGTTCTGGGATTAAATTCTTGTTGCCAGGCTTGTGGGGCAAGTATTTTATCTGTCATTTTATCAGCCTAATAAGGACTTCAAAATATATAGTAATGTATAGTAACAAAGGACTAGTGCTTACAGGTAAGAATCAGGACTCTAACATTGTCAGTATCCTTCTAGCAGATGTCAGAACAGATGTATTTCATTCCCAACTCCAAACTAAGGATTCTCCAGAATACTAGCTTTAAAGGGGATGTCTCAAACATAGTGCTTTACCTCTACTGAACTGCCAAAAATGACTCTGAATTATGTAACCAGTACTTGCTGTTTCTCTGAGACTCTGTATTGGATTCCCCACCAACTACAACCATTTCAAATTTCACAAAATCTTCCAGTCCTATAACACCTACACTGCTACTTTAATACCTGTATTCCTAGCCTGTAAACTGTCAAGAACTCTGGGGCATTCTTGCATCACAAACATTTCTTCAGAAACTAGCGTTCATTTCCAACTCTTTCCCACTATTTCAAGACCTTATACTTAAAATTTAAGAATCTTTGCCACCATTTCTCACACTTAAAATTTCACATCTACACCTCACAACTTCAACTCTTAAAAGCTAGCAAGACATACTGGATCTGTGGAGCCGTTTGACCTATGTCCCCTCTGCAGGATCCAGCATTAAGTAGTTATCAAGAGGGTAAATAACACACACTTATCAAAGCCAGGTGTGGTGTGCATGCCTGTAATTTCAGCATTGAAGGTGCAGGAGGAATGCCTCACGTTCAAGGCCAGTTAAGCTACATACGAAGCTCCCATCTCAAAAAAAAAAAAAAAAAAAAAATACAGCCAACACTTACCCCTGTACTTATGGTTCTCAATATTTTTCCATTTTAATTAGTTAGAGACATTCTAGAATATAAACAATACTAAATTTCCATCTCTATTATATAGCTGACATCTTTTATCATTGCCTAGCTTTATCCAATCTTCCCAAGGACTGATAGTTCTTCAAAGGTAGTAACGGCTTTAATCTTATTCTTTATTTCCTTTTTAAAGGTAGTATTGGGAATGGAACTCAGGGTCTCAGGCAAGCATTCTATCTCTGAGTGTGTCCACAGCTTTCCTGCTCATTCTTGTAGCTTCATCTGGCATAGTGGGGTCTGGTTCATAGCTATGTGAAATGAAGAAATTTCTTCCTAATGGTTCCAAGAAATGCTTTCTCCTTTCTCAAAATTCATTTTACATGTATGGGTGTATGGTGTCTGCATGTATGTCTGTGTATCACATGTGTTCCTGGTGCCTCCAGGGACCAGAAAAGGATGTCATCAGATATCCTGAGACTGAAATTACAGACAGTTGTAAGATGCCATGTGGGTACTGACAACTGAACCCAGGTCCTTTTGGAAGAGCAGCCACCAAGCCATCTCTCCAGCCTTTGAAATTCTTTTAAGCAATTAATCTCACCAAAAATGAGTGCTATACACAAGAGGACTCTTAATTTAAGCACAGCTATCATACCTGGGGGTAGTGGAACACACTTATAATCCTGACATTTGGGAAGTGAAGACAGGAGGATCAGGAAATTTAGGGAAGAGCTTTTGGCTACAGAGATTTGCAGCCAGTTGTGGCTAAATGAGAATGTGTTTCAAAACAACAAAAAGATAGCTATCACTTCATATGAGAATATAATTGCCATAGGATCAAGCTATCCTCTTTGTTTTGTTTTGTTTTTCGAGACAGGGTTTCTCTGTGTAGTCCTGGCTGTCTTGGGACTTGCTCTGTAGTCCAGGATGGCCTCAAACTCAGATCTGCTTGCCTCTGCCTCCCAAGCACTGGGATTAAAGGTGTGTGCCACCACCGACTGGCCAAGCTATCCTCTTAAAAAGTTATTTTGGAAGCAAATAGGCAGATGACTCAGAGGTAAAATGCAAGCATGAAGATGGAGTTTAGATACTCAGCATCTATATGGAAAAAGTCTGGCACACCAACACTGGAAATAGACAGTAAGTTCCTGCAGGCTTGCTGGTCTGGCCAAGTCTAGACTAATTGATAAGCTATAGGTTCAGTGAGAGACACTGTCTCAAAATAACTGATGACGATGATGATGAAGGTGGTGGTGGTGGTAGTCAGGCATGGAAGTGCACATCTTTAATCCCAGCACTTGAGAAACAGAGGTCAGCCTAGTCTACATAGCAAGTTCCTGGTCAGTCAGGGCTATACAGTAAGACCTTGTCTCAATAAATTAGTTAATTAAATTGAAAAAATAAAAATATGAAGTAGAGAGTGATACAGAAGACACCCTCTGGCCTCCACATATCCATACATGGATATATATACACCACACACATGATAAAAAAAAAACCTACTTTGGAATACACTGTCTTATTGGTTTTCCTTTATGCTGTTAATTTAAAACTGTGGAAGGTGGAAGCTGGTGGTATATACCTGTATTCTAGCACTAGGGGCTGGGCAATCCTGAGTTCTATGAAAGCTGGGGCTACACAGAAAAACCCTGTCTGAAAACAAAGAAAGGAAAAGACAGGAGGGAGTAGAAGGGAGGAAGAAATATGGTAGGTCATTTTATATATATATATATAACCATTTTAACCTTACTGTCCCAATAGAAACCAGGCTTCCATGATTAAAAAAAAGAAGGTACCATTAAGTAGTGATCGATCTGTTGTTTCTTACAACATGACTCTAACAACTTTATCAGTTTTAGTAGTGTTTTATTAAAATGCTGATAATCTCTCATCATGTAGTTCTATTCCAGAGAAGATTAACAGAACCTCAAAGGTATTCAGTATATGTTTCAATAATAAGCTAACAGTTCTTTCTGCAGAGGCAGAGGTTTATTCATTTATATTACATTAGAAGCTGCAACTGAATGGGCTTGCCCTTCCCTCCCACATGTGCTTTATTTACATCATCATCCATTCTGTGTGAAGCAAAAGAATGGTTAACATACACAAATTACAACTTATCTATAACCAGTAGGAACTCAGGATTCTAAAACCCTTCTCTCTCCAAATTCTCTCTCTCTCTCTCTTTTGTGTGTGTGTGTGTGTGTGTGTGTGTGTGTGTGTGTGTGTGTGTGTGTGTGTGAAATATACTGTGAGGACTGAGCCTAAGGCCTTGTACATCCTAGGCAAGTACTCTGCCTATATGCCTTCTCATTACTTTGAGACAGAATCTCACTAACTTGCCCAGGATAGACTTGAACACTGTATTAAAGGGTGGCAGCACTGGCCAGTAATCTGTGTATTTCTCCTAACTTTGACTCCCTAGTGCCTGAGACTATGAACTTTTACCAACAGGACCAGCTTCAAATTCTTCTCTCTTTCTTCAATTTCACCCCCTTTTGTATACCTACTCAGTATCCCTAAGAATGCTATGTGAACTAAGGCCCAGAGATCAGAGGCAACTTTCAAATTTAACCTTTTAGAATTTCCTTTTCATAGAAATTGGATTAAGCCATTATATATCTATTAAAATTGATAATAACAAGTACAAAATAAATCTATGTCTTATTTTTTAATTAATTAATTATTTCCATGATAGAGTCCTGGTTGTAGTGTAGTCCTGGTTGTCCTGGAATTTACTCTATAGACCAGGCTAGCATCGAACTCAAGAGATCCACCTGCCTCTGTCTCCTGAGAGCAGGCATTAAAGGTGTGCATCACCATTGCCTGGCCACATCTAATTTTTTTAAGGAAATATTTTTTACTGTATTTCACAATGGAGTGAAGGATGAGGCAGTCCACCACTTTGAAAGGCACTACCTAGATACTTCAAATTTTCAGAGAAGGTCAACACACTATAGAGATCATGAGCTACAATCATTTACTGACTCATTCCTGCTTCCAATAAATATTGGGCACTTAACTTATATAGATATACACACTGTTAGGCATGGTATACATTGGTAAATAACAAAAGCATTGTATAATAAATAAAACATAATTGTACATGTTTGAAAATACCAAAATAAAATCCATATGTATGCTAATTTGAAAAATTAAGCTTTATTTTTAAGATTTATTTTCTGTTCCATGTGTGGGTGCTCTAGGAAGCCAACAGATACAGGTGCTAGGAACTGAACCTGGGTCCCCTGGAAGAACAACAAATTCTCTTAATCACTGAGTAATCTCTTTAGCCCTAACTAGAATTTTTTTCTTTTTAAGACTGAAATAAAAAATGAAAATAAAGATAAAAGGTAGGGGAGAAAAACCAATGATATGGCTCAACGGATAAAGGTCCTTGTTGCCAAGCCTGACAATTTAATCTGCTCCTCGGGGCCCACAAAGTGGAGGACAGATCTACTCCCACAAGCTGCCCTCTAACCTCCCTCCACAAGCACGGTATATACAGGCCTTTAATCCCAGCACTCAGTAGGGGAAAGCAGAAGCAGACCAATCTCTGTTGAGTTTCATTCAGGCCAGCCAGCGCTACACAGTGAGATCCTGTTTCCAAAAAGTTAATTCATTTGATTAAATATCTTTTAAAAGGAGGTCAGTAAGATGGCTCAGTAGGTAAAGCATCTGTCACCAACCCTTCACAAAATAGGAGAAACCCACTCCCACCACACACTGCCTATACACATACATGCACAAAGAAATCTACTTAAAAAAATGTTTAATGGCATGTAGGGAAGCGGGGAGAGGGAAGGATCAGTGGATAAAGGCATTTTATGTCCAGCCAGGGTACCCAAGTTCAATCCCTGGAATTTACATGGAGAGCATTCACTCCAAACCAATTTCTCTAAGTTGTCCTTTGATCTCCACACACGTGTCCACAATACTAAATAAATAAATGTAAAAATAAAAAATTTTTAAGCAGAGAAAATTTTTTATTTTTCTTGGGATATTTCCTCAGAGCTCATGGAAACAGTTAAAAAGGAAATTGACAATGTCAGCTAGAAATTTAAAAACTGAGAGAAGCAACCATATAAATACATATATTCAAAATAAGTCGATGCGAACGCTCTCAGCTGCTACTGCTGTGAAGGGCTGAGGAGCAACAGCAGGCAGCCTTCCACTGTCCTCCCACAGAGACTTGCAGCACAAGTGTTGTCCTTAGCAGGTAATCGCTGCATTAAAAGTCACCTGAGGGTAAAGATGGAGTCCAGCACTCTCCTAGCATTCCTAAATAAAGCACTGGGTATGGTTCCCAGCACCACAAAATAGTGAAAGGATAGACAGATAAGTAAAGTAGGTAGGTAAAATAAATAAGGAGATGAAAAGATAAGCAAATAAATAAATAAATAAATGTCTATTTCCCTGGAGGTTAATGTCTCCAGGCAAAGTACTCTTCTAGCCTGCTGAAAACCAGAGTTCAATCCCCAGCATGATAAAAAAAAAAGGGGGAGTAGATGCTGAAGAAACAACTCAGTCACTAAAGTGCTTATGCAAGCATGAACACCTGAGTTGGGATCCAATACCCATGTGAAAAGTTGGGCCCGGTAGAGCACTTCTGTGACCCCAGCACTGGGAGGCAGACAGATGGAGCCCAAGGTTTACTAGTCTAGTCAGTCTAGCTGAAACTGAACTTCGGATTCAGCAGAAGAATTTCTCTCTCAAAGAATAAGGTGGAGAGATAGAGGAAAACAACTTAACATCAACCTCTGAGCTCCACATGCACCCACACAGGTAGGTAAAGCACACCTGCACAGCCAAGCCATGCATGCAAGCACACACGCAGAGCCCCCAATCATTTTCAAAAGCTTTCATTATTCATTTTTTCACTCACCTGTCATTATTAGTTGATTTCCCTTTGCTCAATATACAAACAGAAAAAATTTTCAGACATCAATCCATCTACCTTTTTAGCAAGCATAAAACCATATTACATTCTAAATTTAACTATCACCCAGTCTCAACAAGTCCCCCCAGCTTTTGTAAATACTGTGCTGTGGAAAAGGGGGAAGAGAAATGCATGCAAATTTCAAGGACTTTAGAGAAAGGAGACCATGTTACGTTCCAGATATTTCTCTAGTGAGAACAAGACAGAAAATGTGTATGATGTGTGGAAATAATTTTAATTTGGATCAAGGGAGACTTGTCACTAGGTACTAGAGAAAGCTATCAGCAAAGGTCTCTAAGTCACCATCCTATAACAGCATAGCTGACAATTGAATTTTGAAGTAGTCTTCTTCCCTCAAGTCTGGAGAAATGTCAGGGTTTATTCTGTAATTATCTCCCTCTAGCCCCTCCTCTCAAAAAAAAAACCCCTCAAACAAAAACAAATGCTCACTGGGCGGTGGTAGCACACGCCTTTAAGACCAGCACTCAGGAAACAGAGGAAGGAGGATCTCTGTGAGTTCAAGGCCAGGGCTACACAGAGAAACCCTGAGGGGGGGGGGCGGAGGCGGGGGCAAACAAAAAACCATGTTCTTACTCTGGTGTTAGAGCAACAGCAGCAGCACCATTATATTGGCTCTATGAAAGATTGAGTAACAATCTGCCCTGGAAATAATAGTAAACAAGTGAAGCCACTACACAACAAATCACTTAGCGAATAGAAAAATTCTATGTTGCTGGGTATGATGGCGGAAACACTTCCCAGCAGGAGGGAAGCAGGAGGCAGGAGGATTTCTGAAGTTCCAGGTCAGTCAAACCTACCTGATGAGCTACTGTCTCAAAAAAAAAAAAAAAAAAAGAGGGGAGGAGGTTGTGTGTGGGTGTGGCTAATAACCTGATCTTATTTGGAGGAGTATGGGCTGGGATTTAAGATGAATGAACTAGGAGAAATGATATATAGCATGGAGGACTAAAAGTCTAAGAGTGATGAGAGACGGAGAACAGAAAGGAAGAAAAACTACACTTGGGAGTTAAGAGCACAGAAATCAATAGAAATAGAAAAGAAAGAGAGTGATTAGGAATCAAGATAGAAAAAGAGGTAGGTTGGAGAGACCCAGAAGACAGACTTCCTGTGATACACTAAGAGCTTGGATTTTCTTCCTTCCTTTTGTTTTTAAAACAGGGTCTTATATAGCCCAGGCAGGTCTTAAACTCCCTATGCTGCTAAGGATGATCCTGAACTCCTGATTCTCTCTCTAGCCTCTCGCTCCCAACAGATACATCCTACCACTCTCTTGCTATTCTAAATCGGCACACCTTCAATCCTACCACTCACAAGGCAGAAGCAGGTGGATCTCTGTGAGTTTGAGGCCAGCCTGGTCTTCAGAGCAAGTTCCAGGATAGCAGAGCTACAGAGAGAAACCCTGTCTTCAAAAACCAATTATTATTATTATTATTATTATTATTATTATTATTATTATTATTATTAAAAAACAAAAACAAAAATTCTCAAAACAAAAACCTGGCAAGCCAGCCAAGAATGTGCACATCTGCAACTCCATTACTGGGCAAGTAGAGGTAGGTGCATCATGAGTTTGAAGTCAACCTGGGCTATATAGCCAGACAGTCTCAAAAATAAAAACAAAATGAGCCAGGCATGGTGGTACATGTCTTTAATCCTAGCAGAGACAAAGGCAGGCAGATGTCTGTGAGTTCAACACTAGCCTCATCTACAGAGTGAGTCTCAGTGTGTGTGTGTGTGAGATTCTATATAAAGTTGCTCTCATAGTCATTTTTGGGTCATGATCCCATCACATCCCTAGGATGTGAAGTTTAAGGAACTCCAAGGAGGTGAGAGAGAAAAACTGAGTCATGGGTTCTAATGCAGACAATTTGGAAAATTGTTTTTCTGTAAGGAAGCCATTAGAGAGATGTCTAATAGACAGATTTAGAATCAAGTTATAGAGCTTGGGGCATCTAAAAAAATGTAGAGTCCTGAGGAAAGAAAAAAAAAAAAAAAAAGTAAAGTCCTGAGCAACAGAGAAGCTAGGAAAGGAGATTAATCAATTAGAGAGCTAGAGGCTTAGACCTAACTAACCCTTGGAGAATAGTGTATCTTGAAGTATAAGCAAATGAAAAGAATAGCTAGTAGAAGGCTTCACCACAACCAAGAACCCAGGACATGAGCAGAAGAACAGGAAAGGGTATTTGGGTTCCCTGGAACTTTCAGGGACCTTTCAGGTGGCAAGCATGCACCAATTTCAAGAATTCTTTATCCTGGGGCTGGGAAAGTGGGTCAGAGGTAAAGCGCTCATCTAGTATGTACAAGGTTCTGGGTTTTATTTCCAACAACTCCCGCATGCATACGAATACACACCCTGCATCATAAGCTCCATTCTGTGGTGGTGTATCATTCATATGGAAGTGGATCTAAGAACATGGAAATACAAGCCACTCACTGATACGGGGTCTAGTACCTGCCCCCGCCTAATAAAAAAAAAGAAGTCCAAGTTTGACATCAGTTATCTTCAGCAAGCAAGTCATGGCCTCTCTCAACTGAGTTCCTCATTTGTAAAATAGGGGCAACAGCCAAAGCGCTTAGCTTTACAAAGCTTTGGTGAAGATGGGTCACAAAAACAGATGCAAATGACTTTGGATTTAAAAAAAAAAAAAAAACAATCTACTCTGATTAACTCAAAATACCCACATTAAATCCATTTGTTTCAAACTTCAATGTACATTAAAAACTACACATTATACTTAAAACAGTCTTGGACCTTACTTTAACATAAAAACTAATCTGGACCTTTAAGTTCCAGGTGATGTTCATGCAATGGTTCTGTCGCAGACTTTGTAGAATGGTGGCCTAGCTCAATCTCTTAGAAGGTAAGAAACTGGGCTGAGGTTGGTAGCTCAGATGGTAGAGTGCTTGGAAACCCTGGTCTGTCTGATGCCAGGGTTGGATAAACTGGAAGCAGAAGCATATGACGACCATCACAAAGCACAGGAGGTGGAGGCAGGAGGACCACAAGTTCGTCAACCTCGCCTCCACAGAAAGTTAAGAGGCCAGCCTGACATACAGGAAACCCTTCATACATACAAAGCAAAAGGAAAGAAAAGGAACAAAGGAAGGAGGCTGCATGGATGGAGTACAGCTCAGAACATGTTTGCTCAGCAAGCTAAGTTCTAGCACAAAAAGAAAAGGCCAAAGAACAGGGGAAGGGAGCTGAGGAAAACACTGGAATGTTCAACAGGCAGTAGCAAAGCACAAAAAGAAACTTCTAGAATGCAAAGATAATTTGAGCCACAGACTCCAATTTTAGCTAGTATATATTCTGAGATATGAGCATACTTGGTGTGCTGAGTCTTGATAGTTAATGCTTACTGCAATTTGCCCTTTTAACTACTTCTAAAATAACATTTTGACAGTAAAGAACTGTTATTAAAAAAAAAACATCTAAATTGCTATTGGAGGACTATAGAGAAGGCATATAATCCATTTCAAAAGAGCAATATGGCTAACTTCGAGACTCAAAACGACCTCACAAAGTATCTATTACTCACAACTGTCTCAGGGGTGTAATCTGAACAAGGAGACCTAACTTCAAAGATTCACACTACTATCTTTCACCTAGGGAACGTTCTCCTACTAACATTCTTGGCTTTCAATAAAGGTACATTTACTTGATGTTCCAAGGTTATTCTGAACTTAGTTAAAGTGATGAAACCAGGGACACTGCTTAAGGTAAATGAAATAACACAGAGTTCAGATTTTGATGGAAATCAAGTTAGAAATCGGATCCTTCTTTACAAAGTCCAGAACTCATATTCCCTATTGCCCCAACTCAGGGCCAGGTTAACATATTGGCTAGCTAACAAGGTCTTCAATTTCTGCACCCATAATTTATTTGAGCAAACTGCCAATCAAAATTGATCTTTTTTTTTGTTTTACTGTTTTTTTTTTTATGAAGATAACCTAGTATTACTGAAATCACATGTTGAACTGTATTTTCAATTAGCAAGGAGGTAGGGGGAGAAAATTAAGGTTCAGAATTATACTTCACAGGTTAATACATCATATAACACTATACATACAATACTAAATAATACTATCCATTAACTCCCAGTGTTCTCTGTGACAGGAGCTTCGCAGTATGAGAGTTAAAAACTAGCAGGGCATGGTGGTACAAGTATAAAAAACCTAGCACCTCAGCAGGTATGGCAGAGAATCATGAGGCCAATCTGAGCTATATAGGGAGACCCTGTCTCAAAAAAAAAAAAAAAAAAAAAAAAAAGCAGGGGCTGAGGATGATAGAGTGTTTGCCTAATATATATATAAAATCTGGGTTCTACGCCCAGCAAAATCGAGCTTCCTGGCTCATGCCTGCAATCTCAGCACCCAGGAAGAGTAAGCAGGAGGATCAGGAATTCAAGGTCATCTTCGGCTACATAGGGAGTTCCAGACCAGCCCAGGTTACATGACACCCTGTCTCAAAAAAATAAGTAAATAAATAAATAAATAAAAACAATGAATAACAAAATACTCAATTCCCAAAGGATTATTTAACATTGCATACCCAACCCAAAGCAATAAAGCCACAGTTTAAAAAACACCTTGGAATCTGTTACATGAGTAAAGACTACAGTTTGAGGAGATTAGAGCCAGCACACTTGAACTGATGTTGCTAGCCATACATCAAGTGTACCTTCATGCAAAGAATTTAGTTACATCCTGGAGGCAATTAGCAGTTATGAGAATTAGACTAAATAATTAAGAGAATTAAATGCGAGCGTTCTAATTTTTTCTTCTCTCTTTTAAGGGACCGGTTTCACCAAATAATAATAATAATAAAACAGCCCAGTTCCCTCTGCTTATAATAAAAATTAGACAACAAAAATACTTACACAGGACTGGAATTCAAAGAGCAATGATCCACCATCATTTCTGGAAGGAAATCCAACTTAAACGCAGCCATCACCTCACTCTCCCCTTCAGAAGCCAATGATAATAACTTGCTGCACTTGTCTGATCCACAAATACACACAGCTTTAGCTTCCTGGGCCCCACAAAAAACACAAAGTGGAAATGGAGCTCAGGGAAACCAGCAGTAAGTGCCACAGAAAGAGGCAGGTCTGGGGAAGGGGCAGGGAAAGGGAGTATTGGGCTAAAACGGGGATGCGACCATGTGAAGGGAGGCTCAGCCCCGCACACAATGAAAGTGCTGATGCACCAGGCTTGTTTTGTGTGATTTCCCTGGCGAAGCAGTACTAAGTGCACTGTCAGACAAATAGTGTGTCAGATTCATGAAGATAGTGTAGCCAACAAAGCAGAAGAAACACAAACTTGTTTCACATCCTCCAAAGTCCTCCCTGTAAATCACTATTTACATCCCAGAAAGCTAAAGTTACCCGAAGGAAAAAGCAAACAGGCAAAACAAAATAACAGCAACAACAAAAAAGTAACCAACCAAGAAAAAAAAATCCACCTCACTTGATGTGGTCCAAAAACGCTTTATAAAAGAACTGGTTGTTGGCCTTGGTTTTAAACTTAGTTTCCACGTGTGGAAGATAGCAACGAGCACAGTCTTTGAGTTCTAATTAACCACAGAACAGTCACAAAAGGACAGGAAGGCCAAGAAGCAGGCCAGGGCAAGCTGTTGTCAAACTGGCCACCTAAACCTGGTTGTTCAATGACTTCTGAGGGACTGGCCCTGTTCTCTTTGAGAGTACAGTGAGAAATCAGTGGCTCATTGGACAAGCTTTTAAAAAACTCTGGTTCAGTATCACTCATTAGGTAGGCACAGGCACAATTTCTTTACTAATTCTGAATCTTAACTTGCCAGAAATGAAAAGGAATAGTAATAGTCTGCCTCCTTCTTAATACAATACTAGGAAATAACCTCCCCCCTCAACACCCCCCCCTCCTAGTTTCCTGCTGGCCTTTCTTTCTTCTTTTTGTAGACAGGGTCTCATATATAGCTCTGGGGTGTCCTGGAACTCAGTGAACTAACTCACTGAGACTGAGCTAGCCTCAAACTCAGAGATCCACCTGTCTCTTGCACGCACCACTACTCCCAGCATCTGTTGGCCTTTCGTTTATTCGTTCGTTCGTTCGTTCGTTCGTTCGTTCGTTCGTTCGTTCATTTATTTATTTTTCAGGACAGGGTTTCTCTGTGTAACAGTCCTGGCACTCACTTTGTAGACCAGGCTAGTCTTGAACTCATAGATTCACTGCTTCTGCCTACTGAGCACTGGGATTAAAGGCGTGTACCACCCAGCTCATCTGTTGGCCTGTCTAATGAAATAAAAAAACAAAAGCCACTAGTGCTAATAATAAAAAAGAACTCTGTCTAATAGGGACACAAATTCGAAACAGGGGAAGGAAGACAGCAATATAGGATTACTCTCTTCACCTCTTCTTACCTTCCTTAAGGTCTAGGGGTATAATAGTCCAGTGGAAGGCTTACCTAGCATGTGTAACAACAGAGATCCAATCCCTAGTACCAAAAGGTGAAAGAAAACATTGTTGCAAAAAACCAAGACTGGTGAATGCAGACATAAAAATTCCATTGTGAGAGCGCTGAGACGGATATACTTAGCAATAAAAGCAGATGTGTGCTCCCGTCTCAATTTAGCTCCACATCCCTCTAAACAACAAATGGTGGCATTTAAATATTTAGGCAATGATTCTAAAACTTAGCTCTGAAAGCCCTCAAAATTCACAGACTTCCTTTCCATTTTTATCATTAGGGTTGTCTTATTGCAAAGATTTCACTTCATCCGAGCTCAGCTCACAACACAGGAAACTTTGGAAAATGTTTTATTCAGTTTATAAAAGAAGTAAAATGAAGTGGGGCTGGTACTACAGGTTTGTAATCCTAGCACTTGGAAGATAAAGGCAGGATGATCAGTTCAAGGTGAGACTCAGCTACATAGGGAATTTCAAGGACAGCAGGGAATACAAAAGACCATCTCAAACAAACAAGAGAAAACAAATTCCTAAACCATAAAAAGAAGGACAGCATGTGACAAGGTGACTTAAAACTTCTAGTCTGTAACAATGGCTAACGTCTATCTTCACCTGACCCAAGAGAGCAGAAGCTAGGTTTCCCCTCCAAAGTCTATACATAGCCACTCCACTTCTAGAACAGTTAACAGAGAATACTTTTTCTATTTTGTCAAAACTTTGGGTTCTGAAGGTCAACTCTGGGGAAGGAAGTAGCAGAAACACTCTTCCAATTCCATTAAAGATGAAGCATAAGTAAAAGTCTACTGAGGAGAGACTACAAACAATCCACAAGCCTGTTCACCAGTCAGAATGCAGACTACCCCTAGCTGGGACTGCTTAAGTTACTGGCAGGATTGTTGTCCAAGTTCTTATAGTTGCTGGAGCTGATAACATTCCTCATCCTATAGAAAGTTATGTGACCGAAGAAATAACTTTCTGAGTTGAAGATCAAATTAGACTTTTTAGATCAAATGAGAATTCATTTAAAGAGAAATCAAGTTATAAGGGACCCACTGGCTGTTGCTATATTTCTATAATTCATTAAAGACAAACAAATTCTAATTATGTCTTTACATGTTAAAATCATACTACCTATTAAAGGGGGGGAGTACTTAAACATGAGAGATATAACTGAATCACTAGGCACTGCCCAATGTATGAAAGGATATATACTCCTTACAATACTTTCATTAAACCATGGGCCAAGAAACACTGATTTCCCGCCCCCCTCAAAGATAGACCTTTTACTCAAAAAAATTCTGAGAGCTCATTTAATAGAAGCTTTAAAAAGAAAACAGGGGAGGTCCTACAAGTTCTGTGCTTATTACACTGATATTAAAATCCATTTTATAAGGCTAGAGAGATGGCTCAATGGTGAAGAGCACTGACTGCTCTTCCAGAGGACCAGAATCATATTCCCAGCACCCATGTCTGTGACTCCAGGTCTAGGAATACGACACCTTCACATAAACATAAATGCAGGCAAAACCACCAATGCATATAAAATAAAAATCATTAAAATCCATTTTATGATTTATAAAGCACTATTGCTTCAAAATCCTCTAATATGGAAATGTTACTCCATGGAGAAGAGTATCTCTTTAGGCAGATCCCAAGAGTTATCGCAGTATAATTCAATGCAATGAACTTGTGGGGAAAGCAGAGAAATAGTTTACAATTCATTCAGTTTTTTAAAAGGATTATAACACTAAGTGATAACAGAAATCACATGAATATAAAAATACAGAAATTAAGAACTAAAAATCTCCTGGGCGGAGGTGGTGCATGCCTTTAATCCCAGCACTCAGGAGGCAGACAAATCTGTGAGTTCAAGGCCATCCTGGTCTACAGCTCAAGATTCAGGACAGGCATCAAAACTACACAGAGAAAGCCTGTCTCAAAAAAACAAAACAAAAAACAAACAAAACCTAGAAATCTGTTGTTCATAGAAATGTACTCACTGGAGCTGAGGCGGCAGAAGGGGTTTCACTCAGGGTTTGCTGTTAACTTTTCCTCTGACTATCTGCATCCCGTCCTTTCACTCTGGATATCTTATTTCCTCTTCTTTCTGTGTTTAATGTCTGTTTTGTCTTAAATATTTTCCACCTGGTTGGTTGGTTTGTTTTTGTCTTGTTCTTTGAGATTTCTCTTTGTAGCCCTGGCTGTGCTTAAAGCCTCCATGCCTAGCTTTTCCTACCCTTCCTTCCTTCCTTCCTTCCTTCCTTCCTTCCTTCCTTTCTCTCCCTCTCCCTCTCCCTCTCCCTCTCCCTCTCCCTCTCCTTCTTTCTTTTTAAGGTAACAATCCAGGTAGGTGGTAGTAGCACAAGCCTTTAATCCCAACAGAGGCAGAGGGATCTCTCTGAGTTACAGGCTAGCCTTGTCTACAGAGTGAGGAATTCTAGGACAGTCAGGGCTACACAGAAAAAAACCCTGTCTTGAACCCACCTCCCCCACCCCCACCCCAAAAAAGAAAGAAAGAAAACAACATCAGTAAGCAAGTACAGATAAGGAAAACAGACTCTACAAAATAGCACACTCTGCATTTAGAATATACAAATGAATAAATTTAGCATGAAAATATAAAACTGGATTAGTAGAGAAAATTATAGCCAAAAAAAAAAAAAAAGCCTAGGAGGCAAGTCCAAATAGCCATCATTCATTCATTCATTATATTTTGTGTGTGTTTCCCTGCACGTATTGTGTGTCACATCCATGCCTGGTGTCCATGAACGTCAGAAGAAGGTGTTGGATTCTTGGAACTAGAGTTTACGATGGTTGTGAACCACCATGTAGGTGCTGGGTATTGAACCTGGGTCCTCTGCAAGAGCAACAAAGTACTCTTAACTGCTGAGCCATCTCTCCAACTCCCCAAATAGCCATCTTGACTGACATAAATAGGGAGTACAATGATAGGTGAACATATTTTTATGTTTGCTCCAATAATCTGTCTTTGAAAGAGCAGTAACATGAAATTTGGTTATGTAAGAACAGAAGAGATTATGGACTACCACCGAATCCTTTAAAAAAAAAAAAACAAACAAAACCGAACAACAACATAAAAAAACAAAAACAAAAAAATTTATATCACTAAAAATAAAAAATTATGCAAGGAAAGCTACAAGTGAAAATATTTAGAAAACAGCCATAGGCTCAGACTACTAAGTGGATTGTTTATGCCTACCTCTTCCCTACCTGCTGATCATTAGATGACAGAGGGATACAGAAAAGAAGCAATGGATTTCACTTCAAAGTAAGCAGCCAGAAGAGCCTAAACTTTTAACTTAGAACATTCAAACTACAAAGAATTTCCATTTCAAAAATTGAGTACTTCTGGGGCTGCAAAGAGGGCTTAGAGGCTTAAGAGTACTTGCTGCTCCTCCAGAAGACTGCTGATTGGTTCCCAGCACGCCTGCCAGGCAGTCTTCAACTGCCTGCAACTCCAGATCCAAGGGTCCAATGCCCACACACCATCTTTCTTTTTCTTTTTTTTTTTTCTTTCTTTCTTTCTTTCTTTCTTTCCTTCCTTCCTTCTTTCTGTTTTGAGAACTTTTAATATAATTAGTGACTGC